TTTTATAATTGACATGACCCAAATGTATGTGTCATAATTCATTTGACTCAAGTAAGTAAGTCGAAGCTGAAATTTTACTATTATTCTCAACAACCATTATATTCAGCTTGAAAAGGCCCTTAGTGAGGTAACCTTTTCCTACAAACATTTCGTTCTTACTTATTACAACCTTATCGGATACAAAAACACACTTAAAACCATTCTTAACAAGAAGTCCAACAGAGACTACGTTCTTCATAATCTCGGAAACATGAAGGACGTTGTTTAAAGTCACCACCTTGCCAGAAGTCATTTTCAGAAATATCTTCCCACATCCTTCAATCTTGGCCATTGCAGTATTTCCCATAGAAAGTGTCTCTTCGGGTCCAACAGGAGCATATGTAGCAAATGCTTCTCTAATAGCACAAACATGGTGAGTGACTCCAGAATCAATCCACTACTCCTTAGGATTTCCCACCAGGTTGCATTCAGAAAGCATAGCACACAAGTCATCAACATCTTCATGCTTTTCAACCATGTTTGTTTGACCCTTCTTCTTGTCGTTTTTGGAGCACGACAACCTATAGATCTGTGTCCAGCTTTTCCATAGTTGTAGCAATTCCTATTAAACCGCTTTTTGCTTGGGTTGTTTTTCGGTCCAGAGGCCTTCTTCCTCTTTCTGTTATTCTGAGGAGCATCCTCAACAATGTTTGCTCCCATTATTGTTGAGTTTCCATGGCCTTTCTTTTCAGCAGCTTTGTTGTCCTCTTCGATTCTCAACTGAATAATGAGATCTTCAAGGGACATCTCCTTGAGTTTGTGTTTCAAGTAATTTTTGAAGTCCTTCCACAAAGGAAGCAACTTCTCAATCATCGCTGCAACTTGGAATGCTTCATTGATGACAAGACCTTCAATGAAAATTCTGTTAGTAAACATAATAAAATTAATACTACCAACATTAGTATTAATTCTACTTATACCTTCAGCAAGGAGATCATGAATAATCACTTGCAATTCCTGGACTATGGTAATAACAAACTTGCTATCTACCATTTTGTAGTCCAAAAATTTAGTGGCAACGAATTTCTCCAACCCGGCATCTTTAGTTTTGTATTTCCTTTCAAGCGCAATCCATAGTTCTTTTGACGTCTCCACGCCACTATAGACGTTATACATATCGTCCTCCAGTCCGCTAAGAATATAATTCCTTCACAGAAAATTAGAATGCTTCCATGCCTCAATCACGAGAAAGCGTTCATTCTCTGGAGTTTCATCGGGCAGAATAGGAACATCTTCCTAATGAACTTCTGCAGACTTAAAGTAGTCAGGTAGAAGAACATCTTCTGCTACCACCACTTGAAATTAATTCCGGAAAATTTTTCGAGTTTTTCCGTCGGTGCCAATGCCGGTGTCCGGCTTGTCGACCATTAGCAGTCACCATCGGAACAGCTTGGTTTCCGTTGTCATTCATCCTTTCTGTAAAAGAATGATACAAACAAACGTCTAATAAACATTTAAAACTGGAGTAGAAAATCGCCACGAAGGCTTTAATCTCCAAAACGGAAGTAGAAAAATCACATAGGTTTTAGTCTCCAGAACAGTAAGTATAACACAAATACAGAAAAAGTTAAATTCCTTAAGCTTATTAGTAAACTATATTTGTATATTAATTCTGGAAAAGATAAAATAATATATATAAAAAATGTAAATAAAACAAAAGTTAATCTGAGCCCATTGAATTCATAGTGTTTCCTTAAGAAATTTAATCCTCTTCTAGTACCCGGATTATTTCATCCTACGATAGAATGAATTACACACTGGTGTAGTGTTACTTCAAACCCCAATGTTTCAGCGAACACAATGTTCGGTAGCAAATCACACTTACTGTTGCTTTCTTTGAAGTTAAAAGTATGCAAAAGAAAGGAGGAGAACTCAGAAAATCATATGAAAAATCTAAGAGAATGGACTGATATTTATATTGGGCTGAAAACTGAAGAGGTGCAACTCTTCAGAATGATTGTTTATGCAAAACGGTCATAGCATAAATGCCATAACATAAATGGTTATTTACGCAACAATAAACCGAGAATTCAAGAGAGAGGTTAATTTTCAGTTACAAAACCGAAAAACGGATAACGGAAAAATGTTTAATATTCCGTTGGATTTAATATTAATATTAATATTAATACTCTGTTATTAAAACGGATATTTAATAACATTTCTGTTAATATTTACTATTAACAAATAAACGGCGGCGCGAGGCTTGCCTTCTTCTCAACTCTTTAAGAGCTAGAAGAAGAGCAATTGCTTATATACCCATCAAAAACCTCTTCCTCTTTCAATATGGGACAATGTCCCTTTGTCAGGACAAACAACTACTGGTTAATTTCTAAATAGCATTCTTGATAATGACTATCTGTGCACTTGCCCCAGACATCACTTTATCTTATGGTTAGCTATTCACAAAAGTTTATCAACAGTGGACATATTACACAAATGGGGCATACAAGTAGTGCAGGATTGTGCACTATGAAATACTAATGCAATGGAAACATTTGCACATCTGTTCTTTGACTGCTGCTATTCAAAGGCTATATGGAGTACTCTATTGGAATGGATAGGAGAGAAAAAGGCAGATCAAATGTTGGGAGGAAAAGGTGAGCTGGGCATCTGTAAAGACTAATAGTTCTAGACTAAGAGCAGGCATCATTGGCTTTCTGTTTGCAGCTGTTGTTTACCAAATTTGGGCTGAAAAAGAATGCTTGTAGATTCAGGAATCAGAAAAGAGAAGGCTGCAATTGGTTAGAGAGATCATATTGCAGCTACACATTTATGGTCAAAAGTGCTATACATGGCAAAGTCACCTAGTTAGTTACCCTATATAGAAGTAATCTGTAGTAGTCTGTTTTAGTTTTGAATAGTCTGTTTTAGTTTTGAATAGTCTGTAGTAGTCTGATTACTTTGAGAATTGGCTCATGAGTCCAAATGAGTCAAGTTGTACATATTGATATACTTGGTTGAATATAATTGTTAAGTTTAACCAGAAAAACAACACTATAATCCATGACTGATGCAAGAAAATCAGATGGTGCTAGTTCTAGCAAGTGGCGGAACAAGGATTTTCCAGCCACAATGCAAACAAGTAAATAAACAAAGAAGTCAATGGGATTTAGCACATATATATACACACACTAGTTTCTCGGCACGTGCGTTGCACGTGTATGCCGAGTCATGTTATACATAACTTCATAAAATAATATTAATATTATTATAACAAATCTTTGAGTATATAAGTATAAATTAATGGAAAAGTACAATTTTTTGCGATAGATTAATGTGAATTGTCGCATATTGATTTTTTCGTCGATGCAAGATGATTGGATATCATTTGAACGTATGAAAATGAATGATCAAAGTTTAATTCGATATCATCTGTTGTTAGTTTATCATGACCAGGACTCTTTTTGTCGATATTGATAATCCTCTTGAAATTACTATGTAAAGTTGCTCATGTGAGAAGTGCAAAGCCACGTTTAACCAAGGAGTGTCAAGGAAATATTATATTGTTATTGCTCGGTAAGATTTTTTCGTTTACGCATATTTATTGTATTTTGAATCTCCTTGGCTTTTTCATGTGTTTAATTTTTTATATTTTGACACCCCTTGTTGAAAAACATGTTAAGGTTACATAACCTGTTCATGACAGAACTAATTGGCTAGAGAGTTGCTTGTTTCTATTCCTAGCAATCCTTCAAATAAAAACAGATGATGGACGTAAGAGAAACTGAAACTAATCACCTAGTATGCTCTGTAGAAATTGCATGCAAATCTAGAATTTTATTTTCGCAAAAGGGAGAATTTATGTGGTAATCCATCAACACAAAAGAACTAACAAAGAGAAAAAAAACAACAAAATATGAAGTGCTTAATCTATCAAGAACATATGAAGTCTAGTAAAGTTTATCAATTTGGCTAATTTAAATTAATTACATTGTCATTAGCACGAAAATATAGATATCTAATGCAAGATATATATATATATATNATCTAGTGTGTATAAATTCGAGGTATATTTTTGCAGGATTAACAAAACAAATACATTTAACCAATATCTTTGACTTTTATATTCAATAATTGGCCGATCATGGAAGGTACAATTTTCTAAACTGCTAAAGAAAAATAACAATCCAAAAGCACCACAAAATCTTTAAATAAACTAAAATGGTCGAATATCCCAATCCAAAAGAAACTGTCACAATATACTAATACTAACCAGTGAGTCATAAGAAGTTTGAATCGACGCTTTCTGCTAAGTAAACAGAAATGAAGTTAGGAGTATATATATAAATATCACCAAGGATTTAGGAAAAAGTTAAATAGAAAAAATAGTAGTAGCACTAGAACCTTGACTGTTAAGCACACAAACTTTGTAAGAAAAGTGAAGAAAGAAGACGCTACTTGGTGAAGGCGTGTTAAGAGTTCTAATCTGAAGAGTGAGGAGAGCAGCGACTCTTTGGAGGAGTAGCGATGTAAAATGGTTAAGGTGGCAAGTACTGGCAACGGTTGAAAACATTAGGAACCGATAGTTAATGGTCTTTTGGTTAATTAGGCTAATAACATGGGCAATTAAGTAAATTAACTTTTAGTTTAGAGGGTTCATGCTTTTATAGTAGTATAGATATAGATATATTATAAATAAATTATCTATTTATACAAGTATAAATTTTTGACGACTGAGTGAATAAAAGTGGTTCGGCTGCTGGCACACCAGAACCACGAGGAGTTGAAGTCAATATTTAAAGGTTATGGCAACCACAGTTTGAGTAGCATTTAAATTAACTAGTTGCAAAAAGCTATGATAAATTGAGAAGATTGTCGGCATGGTTCCACTAGCATCTACAGAGGTAGCCTAATTAATCATGGAAATTCAACAATTTTTTTTTAGAGAATCAGCCGATTATTGCATCAAATGGCAATTTATCCAGCAAAAGGATGAGCAAGTGGTGGAAATCACAAAGGACTCACTGAAAAGTCGAATCAAATTAACGACAATAACTAGCACACGCAGATCAGCCGCTACAGCAAAAAGATTAAATCCGTAAAGTTGAGGCAATTAACAATTAATGGCAGATTCAAAGTTTCAGTTCGTGGAGGCATTAGCTGGTGGTTCTCTCAATCTTCGTAGATGTTCGATCCACTGATCCTCAGGTACTTCACTGGTCCAATTAGGAGCCACTCCACCAAAAGAAACCCTACGCATGGCTTCCATCACTCTCGTTGCATTCTCCTCCGTCAACGGAGCATTGCGGCGGCTCTCGTCCTCTCTGAGCGCTCTCTGCGCAGCATTATCAGACGCCGCTCTTATTCCCTCCTCCTCTTCTTCAACCTCACTTTTACATTCATCTTCTTCCCCGTCGCTCAGATCCAGTGATGATATTCCGTTCTCCACACAATGCGCATAACCGTTGGGGAGTCGATGAAAATGATTAGATTCGTCGGGCTCTTCATCATCGGAGTTTTGAACAGGATTTGGACGCTGATCGGAGATCTGTGCATCGTCGTCATCAGCGATGGAAGAGATTGGCTGGTAATATTCCGGCGAATCGTCAGTGTTCGTGTCGGAATCACTTTCGGTGCCGTTTTCTTGGATGAAACTCGGTGTGGAATTCAATTGGGCGTTCATCTCCTTTTTAGACGAATTTTCTAGAACTGAAAATTTAGGAAATCCACTTATACCTGAATGATGTGCTAAGATATGGAGAATTCAAACTATACTGGAAAGGATTCTGACAAATGATAATTACCTTTTACATATTCAAAATAATCCCCTAAACTATCAAATTTTTATGAGTCTTCTATTTAATCTATTCCTTGTTCCCAAAATCTCTCATTTATATTGCCCTTTATATTAAAATTCCCTATTACATTCTTAAAGGTTCCTCTAGTACACGTTACTAATTATCTTAAAAACATGACATGTAGCATTACATATGGCTATTTAACTTAGCGTAAATCCCACCTAAACTATCACTTTATTATCTGTTACCTACTTAAACTATATGGTGTCTCCAAAACACCCCTGAACTATATTCCCCTATATATTAAAAGGCCAAATACATAGATTATTAAACTTGGCCCAATTTTTTATTTTGGCACTTTAACTCAGCCTTATTCCATTTTGGCTCTCCAACCTCATTTCTTTTGTTCCACTTTGACACAAAAATTTTTCTCCCAGATAAAAATGCAGCGCGTGCAAATACTCAGCTGTNTATATATTTTCAGTAATAACTACGGGTTCAACTAAACCCATAACTTTCGACGCGGGGTAAAAAATTGTATTTAAAAATTCATTAAAATTGTAAAAAAAAAAAATAGATATAAACCCATAACATTTAAAAATATAATNGTAAAAAAAATAGATATAAACTCATAACTTTAAAAATATAATGGGTTCAATATTAAAAACTTTAAAATTGAATCCATAGGATTTAAATTCTGGATCGACCTCCACATTGGGAGTATGAAATTTTGCTTAAAAAATGGCTCTCACGCGCCTATAAGGGTGAGGCAAATCACACATGGAATCTAGTCAGCTTTTGTGTCAAAGTGGAACAAAAGAAATGGGGTTGGAGGGCCAAAATGGAACAAGACTGAGTTAAAGTGGCAAAATAAAAAATTAGGCCAAATTTAATGGGTTGTTTATGTATTTGGCCATATTAAAACCTCATGTTGGACTTTTAAAGGTACATCTATCTAACTATATTAACTTATGGTTTGTACAAAGTTTTTTATATAGGTTACTCATGATTTATCACTCTTGAATGATTGATTAATTTTAGGAGTTTTGGCTAAAATAATATGTAATGTACTGTATTAATTTTAGGTTTAATTGTGATTGTGCTTTACGCTAGATTCCAATTGATAAGTCCTTATTTATATTCACTTTGTAGCACAGTAAAAATATAAATAAAGGTATATAGTGTTGCATTTTTAAAAAGTCATCTTATATTACATACGAAAAAGGGCCAAAATGCCCTCAGACTATTCGATTTGGTACAAATATGCCCTTCGTCTGCCTATTGAGCCAAAAATACCCTCATCGTTATTTTTCTCGCTCACTTATATCCGTACGACTAATGGTCAATGCAAAATAAAAAAAAAGGTCTACTTAAATTACACTCGACAACTTTTTATTGGTCAAATTTTAAATTATGGCCCCAATTAAATAAACTCATTCTTAACCCATTTTGTTTACCCAACCCAAAAATTCGGCCCGCTTTAAAAATGGTCAAACTCTTGATTGTCAAAAAAAATTAACTTTCTACCACCATTATAGCTGTCACCATCCCCTTTCCAACATAGCAATCGTGCTGCCACCACATTTTTAATCTAGGGCAGTTTTGGTCCTTTTCCATATATTTATCATCTTCTTCATTTTACATTTACTATTGGAGTTGTCATTTTTCGAAAATGTTCGTCAAACAACCTTAATTTTCACATTCAAATGTCATTTACAATGGTAAGAAAAAATTTCTTTCTCGCCACATAAGATAATCAAAGAACCCATTATGAATTCATGGGCTTTAAATTCTGGAATAGTCCACTTTTTCTTCATAATTTTTGTAAATTTTGTAAACTCTTAATAATTTGTTAGACCTAAATGGTAGTTTATTGTAGAAAATAAAAATTAGGTACTCCTCCTTGAACAAAGTCCTAATCTTACAACAAAAAAAGGACATCAAATCGAAAAAATTAAAGATTTTATAATCGAACCCTTTTGATTAGCATAATATTCTCATGTTAGTGTTCGAAAATGGAGGAATGGAGCAAACATGTGAATCATGGTTGTAGTGGCAGCGTAGTTGTTATGGAGGAAAGGGAATGGTGGCAGCTACGATTATGGTAGAGTTGAAAAGATGGATAAATTAATTTTTTTTAAACAATCAAGAGTTTGGCCCTTTTTTAGGTGGATCAAATTTTGTGGTTGGATAAAAAAAGGGGGTTAACGGCGGGTTTATTTAATTGGGATTATAGTTTGAAATTGGACCAATAAAATTTGCCACGTGTAATTTAAATAATTTTTTATTTGCATTGACCGTTAGTCGTAGGGGCATAAGTGAGCTAGAAAGATAACAAAAGGGGACATTTTTGGTTCAATTGGTGGACGGAGGGCATATTTATACCAAATCAAATAGTTGAAGGGTAGTTTTGTCCCTTTTTCGTATTGCATAGAAAGGATTACACAAAATAAAATTTCGCAAATAAAATATCAATTGCCCAGCAATTACATTCTCTAATTTGAGATTACATAAAGAAGGTTCAAGAGATTCAACTTTATTCTTTACGAGGTGTTGGGTTTAATAAGAAGATTTAAATTGGTATTCTTTCAACAATATCTGTAAGACATGAAAGGAGACTAAAACAAGAAAGATAATAAATAATTCAAGAATAAAGGGAGAAATTTTTCCAGAGGAAACCCATATGAAGAACTCAAGAAAAATATTAAAATGAAGAAGAAGGTGAAAAATAAAGAAGAAAGATGAAAAAATAAGGAAGAATGATGAAAAAGGAGGAAGAAAGATAGATATAACTGAACTAAGGAGAATATTAAAAAAATTGAAAGAGGGTAATTAGCCATTATATTCTGTTATGTGGACTATTTTGATGACTTTTTTCAGCTGTCACGCGCTCTCAAGCGAGTATTTACACACGTTATGCCAGATCAGCGACGAAGGACCTTTAATACGAAGGTCAATATAGTTCAGGGGAATTTTGGGGGACACCGAATAGTTTAAGTAGGAAACTGACAAAAATGTGATAGTTTAAGAGGGTTTTAAGGTATTATTAACTCTATTGAATGAAGCTTTGTCACAACACATCTTTATATGTATTTTTCTGTTTGTCATTCTGATTAGACTTGGGTTGTTAAGCTAGAGTTTTATTTCAAAAGAATAAACGGCTCTTTCTCTCTCTTCAAGTTTTTGTCTCCCCGCTAGTGCTCTGTCTTCTGCTTCTGATTTTCCGGTGCCGACGACCTCAGGTAAGTCAGCCTCTCTCTCTCTCTCCCGCTCTTCTCCCTCCTTCCTCTCTCCTCCCCCCTCCTCTCTCTTCTCCAACCCCTTTTCTCTCTTTTCTCCACCCCTTCTCTCTCTTTTCTCTTTTTCAACGCCGGAATTTCTAGCCGGCAACCTCCAAGCACCTCTCCTCTGTCTTTCTTCTCTTCTCCTCACTCCCTTCTTCTCTCTTATCCCTATAAACCCATCTCTTTTTTCCTGCTGATTGTTTTACCCAACCCTTCTTGAGCCCAATTTTTAGTTCTGAAACCCTAGCAGCCCCGCCGACGACCTTTGTCCGGCAATCCCCCCCCCCCTTGTTGTCCCTCATTTTTTTACTCTGTCCAGGTCCACCTTTGGGACAGGTTGACAACTCCCCTCCCTATTGGTTTCGTGGTGGTTGTATGTAATTTTTCAGGGAACTAGTTGCGGCTGCCCAAGCAAGCGCGAGGCGTAAGTAGAGCGGAGCATCACCGGCTAGTGTGTGCAAAGGTTGGTGGGAGTTGGAAGGATGCACGACAGATTTCTATGACCTCGGTGTATCGAGTCATATTTCCAGGTTCTTTCCATCGGGAGTTGGTACCTCCCACTTTATTATCTCTTTCTTTATGTTAGTTAAATTGTGGCTATTTAGTTAGCATCACTTTAAGCATATTATTGGAGTTATTGTAGTTGCTACCTGTTATTTTCTAGTTTGGGTCTGTGTTAGTGTTTTTCGGAGTTTGTCATAGGTATAGTGGTTGTGGTATGGGATGGTAGAGTAAGGTCATGTCCTCGAGGGATGACAGGGGTGAGAAGGGGTGGGGAGGGGGTCAGTGGATGGGACGAGAAGCAAAGAGAGTAAGGGGAAAGAGGGAGCTTGTAGATTGAGGATCGGGTCGTGGAACATAGGCACGCTGACGGGTAAGTCTATTGAGTTCGCAAAGATTCTCCAAAAGAGGAAGGTTAATATAGTTTGTGTCCAGGAGACTAGGTGGGCAGGGTCGAAGGTGAGGAATGCGAACGGGTATAAGTTGTGGTACTCTAGAGTCGGGAGGGGTAAGAATGGAGTGGGTATCTTGGTGGATAGGGATCTTAGAGAGTCTGTGGTTGAGATTAGGCGAGTGAATGATAGGCTAATATTTATTAAGTTGGTGATTGGTGAGTGCACCCTTAATGTAGTTAGCGCTTACGCGCCGCAAGCGAGCTTGGATGAGGAGGTTAAAGGGCGCTTTTGAGAGGGTTTGGACGAGATTGTGCGTAGTATTCCACCTACTAAAAGGTTATTTATCGGAGGGGATTTTAATAGCCATATTGGGTCGGCTGGTGGTAGTTATGGTGAGGTGCATGATGGCTTTGGCCTTGGGGATAGGAACGGAGGAGGTACTTCGTTGTTAGACTTTGCTAAGGCTTTCGAGCCGGTGATTGCGAACTCGACTTTTCCGAAGAGGGAGGAGCATCTGGTTACTTTCCAAAGCTCGGCAGTGAAGACTCAGATTGATTACCTTCTTCTCATAAGGTATGATAGTGGGTTGTGCAAGGATTGTAAGGTTATCCCGGGAGAGACCCTCGCGACTCAGCATAGGCTCTTAGTGATGGGCATCGGCATTATGATGAAGAAGAAGAAGAGGTATGCTCGTGGTAGACCAAGGATTAGATGGGGTGCTTTAACTAAGGATAAAGCCAGGAGTTGGAGGGGAGGTTATCCGATATGGGAGCTTGGAGGAGTAGTGGAGACGCGAGCACTATGTGGTCAACGATGGCGTACTACGTGAGGGAGGCGGCGAGAGAGGTGCTAGATATATCGAAGGTTTTTTCTGGCAGGCACCAAGGCGA